CGTTACCACATTCTGCTACTTCAAGATACAGATATAGTGGGTTGGTTTTTCTTTTTTTTCTTTTTCCCCAAGTACTTTAGTGAAAGACAATTTAATCTAATACAAACCTAACAGGTACTGTATAATGATTGGTCCTGATATACATTATATACTATTCTTCTTGCCAAAATAAACCTACTGGCGATTTAGTGATACGGGTAGATCCAAGTTTCACATTTCATCAAATGCTAGTAATCTGTTTTATCAATATAAACTGCATTTTAATGAAAAAATTCTTTTCTTCAGTACACTTCACTTTTAATGCCCCAGAGTATAATAATTCGTTCATGCTGTAGAACAAGAATGTTTTACAAGACCTTAACTCTCCAGAGAAATTTCTCTGTAAATACAAAATGCAAGTTTTATGGGAATGTGTTGTATGCAACATGAGCAGTACCCAACATAATAAAAAACTAGGTTGCACAGAGAATTCTGCTTAAGTATCCTTATGAGCTATTGTGGGACTAAATGGTTATTATGGCAGCATTGAGTGGAATACCTATCCGACAGATAAAAGAGACTCAGTAAAACTATTTCTGCCTCTGAACAGATAAAAAGAAATGAGTTTTTTTAGAAAGTTTTGCAAAATAAATACATCCCAGCAGACCAGCCAGCCAGGCTCTCCTTTAGGAGGGCACAGTTGCTCTGCTGCTGGAGAACTGTGGGGACAACTCATCTATTTGGCTTCTGAATTGTAACCAATGGGGCAATGGATACTTCTAGGGCTAGAATAGGAACTCTGTCATCACCCCCTGGAGGCACAGAATGCGAGCACTGAAGGAAGCACCAGTGAGTGGGGATGCTCAAGCCTCCCTTCATCTCATTCACCTAATTCTCAGCTAAAATCCTCCACATTGTGCCTTTCTAAGCCAGCAATGTGCTTCCCTCCCAATAGGTGTCATGTCCCAGATCTTGTGAGCATCCTTCCTGCCTGCCAACGGAAGCCCTCAAACTCTGCTTGAAGCAGGTAACGAGGAAAGCCATTCAATGGAGCAATTTCCATCATCCAGTTCTTCAGCAGCAAGCCCCAAGGTAGGAGCAGGCTATTGGAGTTATCTAATTATGCTAATTACCCATAAACAGTGGTGACAGAGAGGCTATGACTACCAGAGAGCACCGTGGAGATGCCCAAGCCACCTCTAAGTGCAGTAGGTAGCCTCAAAGCCAGAATCACTGTCATTAGCATCATACTCCACCTAAGCTAATAAATACTTCTGCATGGAAAGCTAATTAACCAAAAACTGCATTTCTAAGGTATAATGCTTCCAACCACAAGACTGTAAGTGAGAGCTCACTTGGATACCACTTTAGAGCATCTCTTGGTGCCACACAGCCACATCTCCACTTCCTGTCCATAGACTTGTGATTGGACATTCAGGTCTGTCCCTGGTTGTGGACATTAGTAGCAAAGCTACTGTGTGGTGTTAATTACAGAAGAAGGGTGAGTTAGCTATCAAACTCATAGTTATCTAAAAAGAGGTCTCAGGTTCAGCCCTGCAAGTCTGATCCCAGTGATGCAAGTCACAAGAATTATTGTTTTCCTTCCCCAAAACAGGCTCCTCCCCACATGTCAGCAATGTTTCTTTACAAGAGATATTGTCAGTGCCATTTAGAAACCTTTGTTTAGTCAGAAACTCCCTTGACTGTTCATAAAGCATTCTCAAAATCGGAAAATCCTGTCTCTCTTACACTATAACTAACAAATATAAAATCAAATGGTTGAAAACGTCCTGTTAACTGTACTGTGTTATAAAAGCAAATTAAGAAACAACATTCTCAAATGTTTAATTCTACTTCTAAATGCGTAATGCAGACAGCATGAGGTACCAGCTAACAAGTTCCACTTAAAAGAAACCATTGCCATCTTCTGCTGTCATCCCAGTGCTCCTCATGTTTCTTTTATATTAGCCCACTTTAGTCCAATCTGCATTTTGAGCTCTTAGGAACATTAATTCATTCTTGCTTATAAAAGTATCTCCCTCTTCTACTGTATCGTGATGATGGTAAAGATATACCACAGTTAGAGGACTAGGGATAATAACCAAAACCTATATTACAATTTGCACTGGAACGAATTGCATGGAGAGCCCAACTTGACCCAGCTTTGCCAACTACCAGGGATGGTATGGATGCAGACAGACCGAGAGAATGCACTCAAAATACCAGCAGAGGTGTTCCAGCAGGGTTTGCTGGCACAACGAGAGGCAGCTGCCAAGGATAACATCATTAGAAAGGGAGTTCTGATCTCAGATTGTAGTTTCTGTGTGCACACATAAAAATACATTATATCAAAATAGATTTTATCGATCCTATAGAAAAAAAAATCTTTATTACATTATAATAGAAAATAAATTGAAATTTAATAAATGACAACGTAAGTGTGAATTACAACATATTTAATTCACTGTGATGTTGAAGAAAAAAAACCTGATGCACAGCACATATGGCATGTAAGATCAGCTATGGGTATACATCTCTTGCAATACCTATGCACTATGAAGTGACATAAACTTGGAATGTTATTTGTCCATAAGCTTAGATGTCTGGTAATATATATTTCTATATAATATATGTGTATTAGAACATATATAAAGGAGAATTCAAAATCTGAAATGACAGAGGATGAATCCATATGGAATAGCTGTGGTACCACAGGATCCAGTATGGAAGCTAGTCATTATCAGAATCAGAAAATGGGTTGCTTACTCTGCTGAATCCTCAAATCTTCTCATCTCCTCTCATGGCCAGATAAGGACCAGTGGCTGTGGTTGCTCAGGGAACAAGAAGAGGTGTCCCTATGACAAATCTTTATCATAAAGTAATTCTCTTCACAAAATGTATTGGTAACTTCTTGTAAGTATGAGAAAAGCAGCGATTAGATGCCCATCTGAAATATTTAATACACATTATGTGCATATGTAATGCTACATCTCTCCTTAGCCATTACTCCTTCATCCTTATGTGACCATTCACTGTGCTGCTTGTGTCAGTTTGCACAGCCATCATCCACAGCAATCATATTAACAGGTAAACACATGACATGTTTGACATGCTCTTTTAATACAGTTTTTTAATCAAAGGTCAGATGTATTTTCTTGTATTTTAACCTGCAATCTCAGTGCTGATCTAAAATAATCTTTACATGATCACTAGCACAAGCGTGAGGATGATTTCTTAGATCACTTATGTCCACATGGAGGTTCCATTTGAGACATACACACCCTTCGACATTCACACGCGAAATAAAAGAGGTCAGAGTAAAGAAAAAAACCACCCTGCTTATTTTGCCTTCAGAATTTTTAAATATTTTCCCAACATCTCAGCAAAATTATGCATTTTAAAAAGACTGCAGGCACTGAAATGATTGTCAGTCATGCAAATAATCACTTACTTACACTGTATGAGTTTGGTTTGGATAAAGCAAATTACCATTTGAAAATAACTTGAAAAACACTCTGGGCTAAGAGCTTGCTTTATAAATTTTAGCTTGGCCACAATTTCTCTTAACCTTTTTCTCCTCAATCTCCATTCTGTCACTATAGCAATTCAGTCTAAATTAAAACAAAAACAAAAAACAAACAGCATTCAACTGCCACAGGTGCATTCACCATCATTGAAAGCATGATCCTGTAAAAAAAATAGTCCATATGGGCTGCAGTTGAAGGTCAAAACCTAAAGAATTTCAGAGTTATGCAGAGGACTGCCACAAGATTTCCCAGGTACATTAAAAACCATGAAGCACTTCTACAGCAGCTCAGTATTGAATACATGAAACATCCACTGCATTCCCTCACTTTAAAGACATGGTCTCTAGGAAGCAATAGTAGGTTTGCAGAGGGGTACAGGTAATGATCTCTTCTGCCACCCTGAGAGACAAGGCCCCAAGCAGCACTGGAGGATTTTAACACGCTTGCCAAACACACAGCTTTAAGATTTCACGTTAGACATGGATTTTTAAAGGATTTGCATCAGTGCTTTAGAATATGTTTGCCTAGTGACTGAAATGCAAACCTTGCTCTGTAACATCAATAACATGCATGGCCTGATACTAAAAATCTCTCTACCCCAAACTGCCACAAACATACATTCAGTCTTTGAAGTGGCTGTAAGTACAAGCAGGTCAGGACAAACATCTCATGTGACCAGAACTGTCAGCAGATCAGAACACGGACTCTTGCAGTCATGATGCTGCTTTCCACCCCTTACTCCAACAAAGCACACACCCAGCATCGTGTCGTTTTTAAGAGTATAATCAAATTGCAGAATCAAACCTATCTCTATTTAGTATCGGTCCCATCGAAGCAAAGTTCCTGTTCAGTGGGAGGAAAGTTCCTTATAATAGGAAAAACAATTGTGCCAGGTTTAATCAAAAGTGAAAGGGATCTGGTGAATGTTCCCTTTGAGCCACATAACCCGCTGCTAATTTCAGGATGGGCTCTGAAACAAGGGTAATAAAAAACGTCCTTCGTAGTAACTGAGGAGGACTGAAGAGCAACTGCAACTGCAGCTAATGCCAAAATCTGCAAGTCTGCTCCGTGCTACTGAAATGCTTTTCACCTACCTGGGAAGCAATAAAAAGAGAGGTAGGGGAGGGGGGAAGGAATAAAATCCCACTACAACATACCAAGGGAAATATAGCTTCTCAACTACAGCCTTATCGCTGTTAGTGTTCTCTAGAATTTCTTTCTCCTCCTTGACCTCCCCTGTACAAACAAACAGATGGAGTTGAGGCACAGTCAACTTTTTAAAAACTAAAACAAGTGGGAAATTATTCACACTGAGTGATGGGGGTTTGCATGCTGCCCCAGCAGCTTCTGATTGCTGAAATATACTTACTAAGGGAGAGTGCCTATCTTCCAGCTCTTTACTTAACAATGCTGTAACTGATTAGTTAAAGCTTCACCATAAATAGGTAGTTTTGACAGACTGGAGGCAATTTATGACGTGGAAAATGTACTGACCTGCTCACATCAGGAAACCTGACTGGAAAATAAAGAACTTGGCACTTCGGTCTGATTATTTTTTCCAAATCCTTAGGTCTGTGGTCAGGAATCAGCTTCATAAATTTTCCAATGGATGTAAGAAATGATTCCATATTAAAAGCAGAGTTGAACACCACAATATCAGCAACCAAACTGTAAAAAACAGTGAAGGTTAATGAACACACTGCTGTTGCTAAAGGAGCTGAGCTATTTTAAATGCAATGAAAACAGGATACACATTCTCATATACAAAATGTATAATGGAAATGCCAATTAATATTAGCCTTTTCAGATGAACCAGAAGTAGCATACATACCTTAATCAGAAATGTTCCAATTCGTGCGTTTTTATACTTTGAATTATTTTTGAACTTTTAAAAAGCAAATAACAATATATTATTATCAACCTAAAAGAACAGATCCCATTCTATCCACGGTTCGCTTTCCATTCATAACATGGGTAAGACTAATACTATTATCCTTGTTTTTCCAGAGCCCTACACACAGATCAGGGGCACTGTAATATGTCTTTGGTAGAACCTGAAAGATGACTTCTCACAGGTAACCCTTTGTACTGAAGGACAACATCTGTTTACATGGGTAGATAGTGATAGGACAAGGGGGAATGGTTTTAAACTCAGACAGGGGAGGTTCCTAATAAAGAGGAAGTTTTTTACACAGAGGGTGGTGACACACTGGAACAGGTTGCCCAAGGAGGTTGTGGATGCCCCATCCCTGCAGGCATTCAAGGCCAGGCTGGATGTGGCTCTGGGCAGCCTGGTCTGCTGGTTGGTGACCTGCACATAGCAGGGGGTTGGAACTGGATGAGCACTGTGGTCCTTTTCAACCCAGGCCATTCTATGATTCTGTGAGTCCATTCTATGAAACTTACCTTTGGTTAACCTATCTTTGACTGGCCAAGTGGGCCAGGGACTGCAATAACAAAGATAAACAGTTTTGGTTTTTTAACCTATGCATAAAAGTGCATGCACTAAACAAAAAGGAGATACCGCATAGTACACAGAATCAAATAAAAAGAAAAAAAAAGGTTTGGTACGTTAATACATTGTATTGCTCCTTAGCATTGTGTTCTAAAATCAATCAGATCAAAAGATTTCAGAAGCAACTGAAATAGTAATTTCAGAAATATTCCTCAACTGAGAGTTGGTCAGGAGACCATAAAAAGCTACCCAGGCCCTGAAGTACCTGGAATTGTGGAATTGTGCATGGGAAGCTCTGACACAGCCTCAGCTGCCCAGGTAAATGAAGCATTGATGGGGTAAGGTTGGCACCTAGCAAAGTCTGCAGACATTTCCACCTCTCTTTGTCTCATACATTGAGCCTCATCTGTTCAGCTTCATCCTGGAGGCTGTGCATAGCACCGCAAGCCTGAACGCCCTCGTCATCCTTGCAGCCCAGTCAGCTACAAGGAAAGGAATTCCACCATTGAAACGTGTGACTTTATTACCAGCATCATCGCAACGCTTCTGAATCATTAAGGAGAAAATAAAATCTCCCTTAACGACTCAAGAAGATTCCAAGTGCTCCACTTTCAATTTTCTCCAAAACATCTATGCAAAACAGCATGGAAAGATAGAGTTGGAAATATACCGATATAAAGATAGATCTGGAAATACGTATTTTCATGTTTCTAGTATTTCCAACAGATTTGGAAGATGGAAGATGGCATTTCCTTGCAGATGACCACTGGGTAGTTATACACTGTACTGAGGAGATGGCTTTCATTTGCTCTTAAAAATGGGGTTTAGACAGCAACAAAAAATGAAAGATGGAAATTACATAATTATACAGAGGTGCTACTGGAGGCTGAAGGAAATGGAATGGAGCATCTATAGAAGACTTTTAGGGGGAGATGAAGCAAAAGAATTTTATGGTTTTAAAAATGCATGCTTTGAAGATAACGTCTGTCAGCTTACAATAGAAAAATAACTGCCCTAAGAAAGCAAAACGTACATAAAAAAATATTCCTTACCTCAGTGCCACAAAAAGACATCTTCACAGTGTAAAATCTGAAAATGGCTGCTAAAGCTTTATTGGATTGCTCACTATCTTCTCACACTCTACTGCTCAAGCAGTGAAACATGTGCAAATGCAGCAGTGGCAGCAGCAGGATGGCCAGTGTGTACCCTGAGAAATTTGACTATCAACTGGCCTACATTATAATGATACAAAACCCTAACTTATACCTTCAAATGCTCAATCCCTGGTCCTCATAATTCTCCTAATAGCAGCTAGGAAAGAAAAGATCATTCAAATCAATTTATTCCAGTTCTCAGAACAACTCAGTTTTGCTGTTTCACTTTGGTTTGTACAGAGCCTAACCACAAAGCTTTTCAGTGTGGTGGTTATTAACTTCTTTCATTAACTTAGATTCAAGAAATACATTTGTTTTTAGCAACAATAAAGGACTGCAGCCTTTAAAACGTCTGGGTATTTTAGCACTGCACAATTTCTGAATACCAGATGAAAAAAATACAAGGATTTATCTGGTACGTTTACTGCCCTCTCTTCACAAGAAAAGTGCAGCATTATGTTTTAATTTCTGTTTATTTCCCTAAAACCCTCTCTATAATTTCAGTTGGATGCAGTAAAAGCTATGGCCGAGCAGGAGGTGCTTAGCTGGGCTTTGCTAAGCAGACATGAAACAAAGCATCTCACTCATGACAGCCAAGATGGGGCAAAACCCACACAACTACCAGGTATGCCACAGTAGCCCAACAGAATCACAGCACAGCTCGGGTTGGAAGGGACCTTAAAGATTACCTGGTTCCATGCCCATGCTGTGGGCAGGGCTTCCACGCACCACTGGTGCTGGTTTCACTGCTCTCTTATACACTGAGATGAGTGGATAGAGGATGTGGTTTTAGCCAGAACCCTTCTCTCAGCTCCTCTTTGGGATGCTGTTTATACCTCTGCTTGCTATAGTCTCTTCAGTTCAGTGGAGGCAGACTCCTCAGGGCTGGCAACACTGAGCATCGGTACGTAGAGGGACACATTAAACAACAAAGAGAGGTGTGAGAAACACATACCATGAAAGAATCTGGTTGTATCCATACTGGAAATCTCTTTCCTTGCACTTCTGGACAGGATACGCCAATTGGTTCTCATGGAAGTAGAGGACCTTTTTCAATTTGCCCAGGTCAGGGCGCAGGGCAGCGAGTTCAGCCAGGTTAAGCACGGAGCTTGCAAAGAGGATCCTGGAAACAAGGAGAGCAGTGTTTACTGCCTGTGAGCATGCTCACAGGGGTCACCCCTTACCCTTCGCCTCCCCTTCTCCCCCCCAAGAAAAACATAACCCCTATAGGGACACATCAATAGCTAAGCCTTAATACCATGTAGCAGCATTCGAAGTTTTGATCTCTTAAAAAGCAGCTGCTAAGAACCCAACTAGAAAAGCACTGAATCTCATTGGTCTTCCCAGCTCAGTTACAGAGAGATGCAAAATAAAAAAGCTGGATGGATTTTATTGAAAAAGGCAAGAAAAGCTGTATCTGAAGGACAAATGGAACAAAGATAAGGCTGACTAGGGAATACTTTGCTTGCCAGTTTCATTACACTTTACTTCTTTATGCAACCAACTACTGAAATTCAATATATGAGCAGGAATGGCACATGTTCGTGTTATGACATAAACCCTTTTGATTTATGCAGTACACTTATCTAGTGTAGTCTCTTTTTTCACCCTTTTCCTATGTTTTATTTTCTCATTTTTCTTAGGTATCCTATAGATGAAATGTTTGTATCCTCACACCCCAGTATTGCTGTAGCATTCTTGCTATTCCACAGTCCACAGCATTGCTCACATCCATCAGGTATATTAAGCAGGCACAAACAACACTAACAAGCTGGTACCTCAGCCTTGTATAACCTAAAAGGCTATCAGAAAATGGGCTTATTTAAATACATAATAGCAAATTGTTACCCTGCTGAAAACAGTGGCAAATTTCCCATAATTTCTCCACAATTACATGAGTGCCTCCTGTCCCTTGGTCAGCACAGCCTCCAAATCAACTGAATCCTGAAACTATGGAGAACTACAGACACTCGTGTTATAGATTTCTCATCATAAAGGATAAAAAAAAAGTACAGGGATCAGGTATTGTATTGCACATTAAACGTTAAGCTTTAATGCAGTACTTCTTAACGTAGCCCATTTCTGACATTTTTGGGGGCTATTTGCCATTTCTGTAGTTCAAGAATTTCAAGATCTGTGAAATGCTTAATTTTTCTAAAATCTTTTCAATTTCTTTCTCTTTTTACATAGATTTAGTGTTCAAAAGTACTGCTGAGCTCGCATCATTAACACTGTAACCTTCCAACTCTGGCTATCAAACTTAAAACTTGTGAATTTCCCCAAATAACCACACACACACACATCATATATGCACCATAATGTTACCTTTGCTACTACACACACAGTCTTTGAGTAATCTGCATGTAGAGAACAAACACTTCCTAGAGAACTCATCCTGCATCCGTCTTCATCAGTGCAAATCAATGCTAATCTGAAAGGCTTACCAAAGTAAAAGATGAATGTGACTGCTTTGCTCATCAAATATTTGGTACTTCTGAAGGGATTGTTAAACAGAATAGCAATGAAGACACAAGCACTGCTTTACCACCCAAAGACCAAGAAAGCAGTTGTTAGGTAAGTCACAACTTGTTTGCCATGTGGAATGACAGCACATGGAGCATACCATGAATGGGGCCAGGCTCCAAGCAGATGGGAGAAGGCTTCTTACAGCAGGTACAACACACCTCACATGCAATAATACTGCAAAAATAAGATTAATGGCTGCTTGGAAAAATGCTGGACTGCCTCATGGCTTATCCTTTCTTCTACCATGGGAAAGAAAACTGAACTGGTGCAAGAGAGTGCTTATAAACTTGCCTATAAACTCAGCTGTGTTTGAGTGAGGAAGGAAAGGAAGAGATGGCACATGGGGACAGAAGGCAGGGGCAGCAGCACAGAGCAGGACACAAATGCCACGGTGGGAAGAGCATGGTGTAGGTGTCAGGGCCATGAGACAACAAGAGCTGAGGTTGAAGCCTGGGCACAGCCACACAGCTCTGCAGCATCCAAACCCACTCAGATGGACAAAGGCAGAGCAATATGAATAAAGATGCTTATATCCACAGGAAAGGAAGGTAATTCTTGCAGACAAACCAATGGAAGTTGAGTTGGACTAGATGACCTTTAAAGGTCCCTTCCAACTCTAAGGATTCTGTGATTCTATGATTGAATACAACAGCACCATTGCAGAGAGCCAGAGGCAGGCTTCTCTTAAGGCAAAAAGGACCAAAACTTGGGAAGCATGCAAGAGCCAGACCTAGATTTTCTACAGTGTAAATGAGAAGCGATAAGAATTAACAAGCAGATTGCTCAGGACTGCCCAGCTCATACATAAACCAGTGCCAAGAGAAAACTGTTGCAATTACTAGAAAATTCTGATTTAGAAGCTGAAATGACACTGTTTACGTTTCTTACGGCAAATAAAGTGTTGAATTGGTAACAGCATTAGAAAACACCTTTCCTCATTCACTTGCATCACTTCTCAGCGCTTCCAGAACCGAACGCAATGGGCACGAGATGCTCCTCTGTTTGTTTCTTTGCTGGCATAAAAGCTGCTAACTACCAGCACAAAGCACTTTCTCCAGCTCTGCGAGCCTAAATAGCACCTGACAGCCCAAGTCACTGTGAACATGCCCACAGAGCAGCCGTGGACGTGGCTAATGGACTCAAGCAGGGCACTGGAGGATACGCTGCCGTGGATTTCCACTTAACACCTATTACAAGGGAAAGAAGGGAAAGTTTATTATAATGTAACCTGAGACATAAATATATGTCAGTTGTCATTCTATGTGACACTGACTTTCATTTTACCTCGGGTTATTATTTAAGTAATAAATCCTAACAAGGTGAGCTTTATCATCCCACCGAGTGTATCCGGGAGGTAGAGACACAAGGTGATAGCAAGAACGCTCCAAACATGATAATTCCTGACAGCTGCTGCTTGAGCACAAGTTAAATTGAACAGTTTATCTCAGCATAAAGATGTTATAAGGTTTTATGTTTAATTTAAAAAAATTAACATAAAACCCAGAGAAAGCAGAGTTAGGCAATCTTTCACAAACATGACATACTACAATCACTGTATAAGCTGGATTAGTACTTATTACCATGCTACTAGAGAATTAAGCTGTTTTTAGACCACCAAAGAGCTTTAAATTGCAACTTTTGTCTCTGTAAGAGAAACCTATATTTAAAACGTCTGCTAAATTCAAATTAACTGCTACATCATTAGCTTGCCACCTCACAAAAAAAGCACATTTAAACTGCTATTACAGTATTCTTATCCTAACCTATCACTGCTGCAACACATAATACAACAGTAGCCCTCCATAAACACAACATGCAAAGTGCCACAGAGCTGAAGGTCATATTGGTAATGCCCCAGCTGTCCACCCCAGGACAACCCCAGGCACTTTGCAGCCATCAGGACGTGGTGCCCAGCAGCACCAGCACCTTGGAGGCCAGCCAGACTGCAGGGCCACCCTCCACATAGGCTCTGATTTTACGCTAAGCTTGTGCTTAATTTGAAGCACTTAATTGTCCTCCTGACTTCTGAGGAACTACTTACGTGAATTAAGTTAAGCGGGTGCTTAATTCGTACAAATATTCATGGCAAGGAGGCTGAGCAGGCTTGCAGACTGAGAGCAGCGTTGTGTGTGCAGAATGACCTGACCTTTGTTTTGCCCGTTGTTTAATTTCAAAAAGCTGAAGAGGACTAAAATTTTAAAAAATTAAACAACAGTAACAGCATTTATATCATCAGCCAACAATACGCGTAAGCCTGATATGGGTTTCCATTTATACCAAGCAAAATACAAAAGTAAAGGTGCTAAAATATTCTTGTTTTATTTAATAGGTCTTTGTGCTACGTAACTGCGATTTACTCTTTTAAGTAACCGTCCTAAATTTTTCAATTAAATTCCCATGCAACCTAACTAAAAGCACATTTTGCCTTCCCCTTGGGAGACCACACAGTGCACATTTACCTATCCGTGGATCCAGAGATGGAACCCTCTGAGCTTGCTGAGCATCCAGCACAGAGCACATTGAAAGCACAGCTGATTGGCACTGGGACCCTTGGAGCCTAGCAAGGAGGGTCAGCCTAGCTGGAGAGAAGGGAATGAACATCCACATAGGACACTCCACACTGGGGGAAGACCCACAAGGTCCAGTGAATCCAACACCCAGCTCCACACTGCACCACTCAAACCCCATTGCTGAGAGCAGTGTCCCACTGCTCCCTGAGCTCCACCATGCCCACCACCTTCAGCAACACAGCCTTTCCCAAACACCCAACCTGTGCTGTCTTCATGCTCCTCAAGAAGATACCCGAGGGTTCTGGTTCCTCCATCTCATCCCCTAGCACACCCATTTCAACGCAGTCATTTGGACACGTCCACTGATTTGGCTTTAAGATGTGATGTGTGGATTAGAGTTGAAGAACAAATAGCATCGTTAACACTTGCAATGCTAAATGGACCAGTTATCTTCATGCAGTGTCACACATTCTTTCAGGATCAACTTGCAGAAGGTGTGCTTTTATCACTGTACCGAGAATATAGTGATCACTATCAGATACAAAGCTTTTTCATTTCCCATTGAACAATAGATGCTCCTGAATTTCCAAATAATAAATACTAATCAACGATGATATATGACAGTACACAACATAATATAAATTAACTCTAATTTTTTTGGACATGCAATGCACAAATGTCAAAAATGCTTATAGATCCTATAATACATATCTCATAAATTACACTTTTATAGATAGAGCGTAATTTGAAATGTTTACAGAAATAATTAAGTCCTACCATTTGAACATGCCTTATTTTTCAAAACAAATCACAAGGGCTGTCATGCCTTTCATCTTAATTAGGCCACGTGTTTGTCTTATTTATTTGTTATGTACTTTCATAAACGTTTACAAATATTAATCGTAAAGAAAAATATTTTTTCCTCTTGCTGTAATTACAATACAGAGCACAGTGATAGATACTCATGGCTCCTACTAGTTCAATAGTTTGGGATTTGGAGCTAGTCTCGTATATTGAAATACATTATAAATGAATATTTTCTTTTAAACTCATACTTCAAATCCCTTTTGTTATGCTTGTATTTAAA